AGCATCGATTCAGGGATTTATCTGCCAAAGCGGCCTCCTTAGGACAACCACAGGATGCCTGCGCGTACAGAGGGACAATGGGTGGCTTGAGCTGCATCTCCCACAGCTCCATCCGAGAAGCATGTGGATGGGAGCCAACTTTTATCATCAGAGCCGGCCAACACTCCTTCAACATGCACAGTAGAGGTATTCCTCTCTATCTAGGTAGGGAATCTGGTGTACCAGACATACACAAGGAGATGTGTGGGCCGTAATACGTTCCACACAGGATGGAACCAGTCTTTGAGCCTAGTGCAACCACGAGGAACTTGTCCCCTTTTCCCCAGCAACGATTCACAGTCGCCCGCAGCCATTAAACGTGGTGGTGGGTGTTGGACAATTAGGCACTTCAACAATCACATCACTCGCAGCCATACCGGGGATATCAAACAAACAACCCATACTTTAATGGAAAAGAAACACGCAATATTGTCACAGAATATGTAGCGGAATAACAGAGTTGCACAAACCATATAAAGTTGTACGATTTTTCTCCAGGTTAGTAGACCTAGTTTAAGTTTACGTCGGCTTAGCCCAACTGCGGTGAAGAAGCATCATTCAGTTCAGTTCAGATGGGACTGGAACGATAGGAGAATCCCGTGAGTGTTCCATCTTGAGTGGATCGTTAAGCCAGGAATTGATGAAGTGCTCATTTATTGATGGATCTAAAACGGAACACCCGTATCGCACTCTGGCCAACCAGTTAATGCCCACGTTTCCTGCCCTAGCAGTACCTGCTGGGGCAGTCACGTGAAGTAAGCAAAGGATAGGAAGAGAAATCGAAGGTACAGCATAAGGAAGTGCACTTAAATAAGAAAATAATACCAAGGCGTGAGGAAAAGTAAAGGAAAGAAAATCGAAGTACGAAGATGCGAGTTAAACAGGAAAAGGGAAATGTTTCGTGTTGCCACCCACGAGCGTCAAGTTGGCGCTCAAACCCGTTAACCGTAGATTCCCTGCTAACACGTTCCAGAAGCATGTTCCAGCGGTCGATAACTCGGCGTGGCAGCCGGATTTCCGCCGTAATCCGATCGGACCGCGGTTTGTCCAGCTTCAAGGAATGACCGCGTAGAACAGACAATCTAGCGGGACTAAATAGCCAAGATAAATGTGGACCAACCTTCCCAGTTAAGATGCGGTAGGTTAGGGTTAGGTCTCCTCTAAGCCTTCGGTAGTACATTGAATGCATTCCCAAACTAAGTAGACGCTCGGGGTACGTCCATCCCCGTAATCCCTCGACTAACCTAGTACCCACTCGTAAAACTTCTCTAGCTCCATTTTGTCCCAGACAAGGCAGGGCGGATAAGCATGAATGCATCTTCAACCTCAGCATGTTACAAGCCAATGCAAGCAATCAGGAACATAAAGCCTGCGTTTATTTGACTTAACTTCAACTGACGAGTAAGAAGGAGATAATATAGTTAGTCCACGCACATGATATTTGGGACAGAGGTATTTACGTGCACTGCCTTAATTCCTGAAACAAAAATCACCGTATGAGGAGTGAACTATCATAGTCGTGGGGTTCCGACTCATTGAAAGTTTAGGTATGACGAAGAAATAAGACGGAGTCTGACATATTTTATTGACATGTATCTACAAATATCACTTACCTGTATGCATATACTGGTATAGAAATTTTACATCTCTAGAATTTTACAAGCCAATAGGTAGGCTACATTAATATTAATATTATTATTATTACTTATTAATATTATTATTATATATTATTATATATATTATATATATTATATTTATTGTATATATTATATTATATGATATATATATTATATATTATACATATATTATATATATTATTATTATTATTAATATTAATATTAATATTAATAAATCGCCCACCATAAGAGCAGAAAAGCATTGGATTGCCGTTTCGAGCAACCGAGACTCCTCGGCAGTGCGCATGCTTCGTTTCGCTCAGGATCTAAACTCTTGGTCTATAGAAGATTGCACCAATAGCCATGCTTTTCTGTCACTACTTTCCAGCCCAGAGAGGACACAACGGCAGTTTAGTGGTGTAAAAGGCATGTGACTTAGAAACAACCGCAAAGTATCTTAAGCTACTTCTATCAAAAACCCCTAAACATAAGTGCATTAAAATTAATTATTTACGTTAATTGTTTCCGACCAATTCAGTTTCGATCTTCGACTTACAAATCTTTTTCATAATTATGATTTCCTTGGAAGGCGTAAGAGGCACTGCCCACAAGGTTGAGACCTCTGCTCCTAATTCGAATATAAGCTTTCAGTTTGTATCCTTTCATGATGCAATAATTGTTACACTAAGTTTAAAGATGTCTGGAATCACAAAACTATTGTTCACTTGTAAAATATTCACTGCTTCTGTTTTATGGAAATAGCTCCTTTACCTAGCTGAATTTCTCATGCATTGTCTGTCAGGGGAAGTAGCTTATTTTCCTGCGAATTCTAACAGAGTACCTTTTGCGCCAGTATCACTGTGCACAACAACTACTCCGAAATGCTGGACAGCGGTTGGCAACCAGCTTTTTGGACAGTTAACTTCTAACGTGTGTTGGATCTTCGGGTATATAACTGCGCTTCATCCCAAGGGATGTCACGCGATACGATGCTGTCATGCTGAGAAATCGACTTCGAATGAATCCATTGAACAAACTCTGGCATATACGGGTTGTATCTAATTGAAATGTGCTTTTTGGTGTCTGGAATTCAAAAGTTTGACGCAGTTTGCCTCCTTTGAGTTTCTACTGTAGCCAAATTTGTCAACACACGCAAGTGGTGATTAGTAATAAGATTACCATAGTTTAAAATATTTTTACTGTTGATAAAGTTAATTGTTAGATCTCCAAGTAATTCAAGAATGTTGAGTTAATGAAAATCGTGTTTGTACTTGAAATGCCGCCTTGTTCTAATAAAATTTCTCCATCAGATGTTTTCTTTATTTCACTGATAATGTACGCTCTCTATGTATACAAGGAAATGCAAACTTATAAGGAGACGAGTACAATCGTGAATCCCAAAGGCGTTTCTACATTTATCTTGGAGTGGTAATGGATCTGAGGCCAGTAAAAAGCCAGGGAACGTACATACCAGAGTGATGATAATATTTAATTCATGAATGATGGTTTTTAATTGCTGTTCAAAAATACGCGAACTGGAGCTGTTTAGTAGCAACCTTGAACAGCATAAATTGGAAAAATTTAATAAAGTTTCAGTGCGAATCAAGAGACGGATCGATTGAAATTAATGTTACCAATTTAGGGCTTAGTATAAGCAATACTGCTCCAGTCATTTGGACTTGACTACTTAAGAAGATAGTTAGCAACGTGCAATCGCATTTATGATACAACAAGACTTGTTTCCTGCATTTATAAAGATTTGTTTATATAGGTTTAATAGTCTAGTTCTATATAGGCTGTGGATATTTTCGACGTAAATTCCCGTGATAGACTAACCTTTATATACTCAGAATTTTGCTTGCAATAGAAAAGTCTAATAACTACCTTGGCAACCAGAAGTATCCATACTGATAGTCAGCTTGGTTTGATGATGTATTCACAGTTATTTTGCATAAAAGTTTTGGTTTACATGTTTAGTGCGCTAGAATTGTAGAAGAACTTTAGATAAACAAACATATCTAAAGACATGTACACGATATATATGAGGTGGGCATGAATTACAACAACGTTGTTCAACTGGGTTCATTTGGCTTTTGCCAAATTCAAACGATAACTAATCCAACGGCATTTAGATAGAAAAGCTCATTAAACAAACTGCTGGAAATTCGTTCCCACGAACTAGAAGTTGCAGCATCTCGTAGAACTGAGGGTATAAAGTGCATGCTAATCGGTTTTTCATAGTTTGTGGGCAATTATGTGCCAATTCTCTGTGCGATTTTCGCATATTTCCTAGTAATTTCTAACAAATGCATACGTTGGGCTAGCTCATGAAAAACCTCTTATTTGTCACACTTTTGTATTTATTCAATAGTCATGCTTTAGTTGTATAGCTGAATCGTTATACCAGTTTTAATTAGTGGCATATAAAAACCATGAACAAGGTTCAAAAGAAAAAAAACGAATTCGGAAACCAACGGCTTGTATTTATTTACAAGGTCAAGTGAAGAAATAGAAAGGGGATGAAACTAAGTAACTTGAAAAAAGATATCGCAAGTTATACGTTAAAAGTAACAAGCACATGAACCGCATGCAACTGGGCAATCTTTTCAATAGTGCCGTACAACACTATTTGAAAAAAATTTATCTGAAGTCATTCGACCAGCCTATGCTTCAGGTTAATTTCCGAATCGCTTTACTTGCACAACCTCTACTGAACTAATCGATGTTTGTCTGTTATTGCCACACCATTAGATGTTTGTTAAGATGTGTATATTAACTTGCGTTCACGTCTCACAAAGTCAGGAAATGATGCGATGAGATAGGCTTGACGTCTGAGTGGCAAAATTGTCTAGTACAGACGGCACAGCTTTGGCCGAAGAACGGTTTACAAACTCTGGATAAGGCATAACGGTTTGGCTGCATATTGTCTTACCAAGAGGACAAAGTTTCTCTTGGTGAAATCACATTGTATCTCCGCAGATTAGGTAAGACATGTTTCGTTTGGGGAAGAATTAAGTGCATTTTTTGTATCGCCGAGTTTCTTGTTTGCTAGTGGTGGAAGTACTGGAACCTGATCAGAGCCGTTAACCCGACACATTTGCAATGGCTTGAAATCCATAGCTTCCTGATCTCCAGCGTTCGATCTCCTGAGGTCAATGCGCACTGGAGTGGTGGATTCAGCTGGGTTATTGCTTATTGTGTCTTCAAAGTTTTCATTGGATGGCGAACCTTGATGTTGTCCGTCGGATCTATCATCTGGAGCTCTAAATCGTAAATAATTTCTATTGTAAATGTCTGATGTAGTGTACACAGTTGTGGGCTGTACTCGGTAATCACCATGCTCACCCGATTCCACAGCATTTCTCTGGTGTTCTGCTGATCCTTTTGTGGGACCTACTAGGGGACTTCTCGGAGGCGGAACTGGTGGTAATGGCGTCACGAAACTTGTTGGGTATATTGCTGGATTATACTCATTTGGATTAAACAACTGCTGCTGCTGGTGAACTGGTGAGTAGACCACATTTTGTTCGGGATGCATGTAGCAGGTGCATGGGCCCCCAGAAATCGCAGTCGGACAGTTCATATTGTGAAGTTTTACCATCCCGTTAAAGCTGTCTGGTGCGTTTATGTAGCAACCTGTGCGACTCGATGGACGGTATCCAGCGTAAGTATTGTATGGATGATTGCCTAGCGTTCCCGGGATGTTTAGAGCATCTAAATAGTAATAAAGTGAATCGAAAGCATTTGTAAATGTCTTAGTTTTTTATCAATTATAGTTAAGTAAAATAATTTTTATTTTTGATACACCAAGCCGTGATGAACTGGTCGGCCGCTAGAAGTAACATTCCTGCACATTTTTTCAATGTGGGCTTTATGGATCATTGGGAAAATGCGCACCATAACAGACGGCATCTTTTCACAATGCACGATTGCGTTGTCCACGTGTGCATTCACTCTGTGTCCTGAAAAATCATTAACTAGCCTGAGTTCTAGGATTAGGACAACAGTTGTCGTCTCTGGTCATTTGGCATAGCCTTAGAAAGCATACTTGAGTTATCGATAAATCATGCCTTTGGATTTGATGGAATATATTGTCGTGAAGGATTTGCACTGCAAACGTAAGTTGTGGGGGGTTGAGTTATTACGATTTGTGATCACTTTAAGAAGCTGCGATTACCATTGACCAAATATACTAATGTGGCCAAAGTGATAAAGCTGTTTGACAAACAACTGCCCTAAAACAAAAAACATTGTCTACACGGTCCCACTTTTCGGAAGTTGGTGCCAGTTTGTTATTAGTCTAGACGTATTGCTATGCTTTCGTGTTTTCCAGTTCTAAGTTTATAAATTCGTTTATTCCTTTAATTTGCAAGTTCGTACGTCACAGCGCCATAAAAGTTTTTTGATTAAGACCGTGAACGTCGTTGCTACATGGATTGCACAATCCCATAATATGCTTTGTTGCTTCGGATGGAAGCTCGCTAAGCAGCATTCATATCGGATTTAAGGTTTCCGAATGCTTATCTCCAGTGGATGCGAAAAGTTTCATATAAATTGCAAGTCAACATTTTAACAGTAACAGTGACACTCTCATAAAATCAAATTTGCTGGTTTTAGACATTCAATACTCACTTCGGTAATTTTCTGAAAACAGAAATTGGTTTCCCTCTTCCGATGGTCCGCGCCCGGAGTCTCCACTTTCCGCATCCAAATGTGGCTCATAAGGTACACCACAAGCTGTGGACCCAGCATAAATTCCTCCGGCGTTGGACCCACGGTTTCTTGTCAATGTCTGCAAAATGTAAGCTAGCATTAAAGCATCATTCGATCGTAAAAGTATAACTAATTAATTAAACGGCTGGGTTACTTCTAGCTTGAAAATCGGTTGCGTCTAAAATTTGCTCCACCACCTTAGATTTAAAAGAGATATTAATAAAAATGACAATATTTTTCTAAGTGTAGATACTTTTTGGCAGAGGAAACCGTCCAATGATTTAGATGCTTTGATTCATTTTAAATCACATTGACTGAATTATTGTCTGTTTCATGGAGTTGCGATTTATGCTGGATTCACCGATGATCATTGTCGATTATATAGATTTGTTCGCAGGTCCATCTGTTATTATCAGCCCAATACACTTCTATACCAGTTAAAATAAGAATAAGTATATTTTTGCTAACGCGAAAAACGCTGTCTGCTGCACAGATCTTTTGTATAAATATTTATAGTCATGCATGAGAGATATGCACAACTGGAATGCTGTGGTATGCGTTACATATCGTTACGTTCTGGTGGAAGGTTGAGTAAAATGCCTGGAGTACGGGACTATTTCCTTTTGTAGAGAATCATACGATGTGAGCATAATGTTCAAATATTTTCACAGGACATCATTAATTCAAGTGTTCAACCTAAACGCCGTAAGTTTAATCCGGCATAGCTACTCAAAATTGGTTCACATATGTTAACCGAGTATAATCGCAAATCTCCCACACGCTTGGAAAGAAAGTAAATTTGTTTCATTTCATATATTCCGAAACAATCAGGGATGCCGAATTTGATATCGCTGCTTATGTGAGATCTCGAAAACTTGGTTGACCTTCTGACGTTGGCATGCACTTGCGACAACATCTAAAATTCAAACCTGGCAAAGTTTTCGGTTGCATCGTGTTTCCCATGAGCTTATGCTCTTTTACTACGTGTGAGCATTCTGTCGACTGTTTTCCCTGCTTACAGGGCTCAAATGTACATGCACTGTACGTTTACACACCAAGTCAATATAACATTAATTTATTGCTAAATGGTTAATTGAAAGAAGAAAACGATGATTATTTTAGCAACTCTTTCCTTGACAAGCATGAAAGATGGCTGACACCTTCGGATTATCGAAAGATGGGGTTGTTAGATCACCATATCAAACCATATATAAAAATGAAATCCTACATATTGATCCATTCCCGTTGGTGATGAGTTATTCACATTCTTATATAGAAGTGCTGCTCATCCGCTCTACAGCCTTACAGCCGTCAGTCATTTAATTCTTCTACAGTGCTAAGTGAATCCAAAAGAATTTAATCACAACTTTGCTTGCAATCATCCTCCGTGGTCTAACAAGACAAGTCAGAAAAGAGCACTTTAGCCCATTTATGAAAGAATAACGTAGCACTACTTGGGTAGACCGATTTAAAACTTATTTGCCGGTTGTAAGTGAGTGATAATTGGTAAGGCACCATTTACCGCTTTCTAGATGTCCTCATTCTCAGCTACGCAGAGAGGCGTAAAATCGCCACATTAACGTGTAGATTTTGTGGCTCATTGACGGTAGTTTAGCATACTAATTGCAGGGTTACCAAATTCAGTTCCGCGTCCTAACACTTACCTCTAATATTTTGAATTTTGAATGAGTATTGTTGTATAATTAGAAAATTCCTTCGGAACTCGTATCATTGGATACGCATCTGTATACTCGATTGATACAAAAGACTATAAGGTATAATCCTTTAGTTCCTAAACTATCTTTAGGGGGGCAGCGAATTTGGCCTCTGAATGCTAATGTTTCTAGCTTCGCCACTGCACCGGGCCATATTTTATGAGACAGATACTTTGATATATTTGCAAATGTTTGCCTGACTACGACTTAAATTTTGTGTTATGGTTTATAGTCTGGTCGATGGCGTTTCTCCGTCGCATTTATGTGTCACATATTTTCCAAGGCGCCTGCATATAGTTACAATCCATTCAGATGCGTTCTCAGTTTTCCCTGGTACATCGTTTGATAACCTTAGCTGATAGCAAGATTCGCCTTCTGTGTTTTAACAACAGGCATCGAATCTTTAGGCACTATGCATCAACTCAATTATTTTAAACAACTCGGATTCCTTTTATATTGAATTGCGCGATTTGGTTTTCACAGTTTAATAACCAGGTAACTAGCTTTCCTGGTTTAACTAGGGTTTTCGTTCACAGTGTTATCCATATATTTAAATAATTGTATTAAGGGGGCTTGAATATCCAGTAGTCGATAGCCAGGGTCATTAGCTTATAAGCAGAAAAACTGTGGGTAGTTTTAGTCATAGTATTCTGTGAAGACCAAATAATTAACGTTTCAAATGTTGGCAACTTTTGCATATGTGGACTTATAATACAAGTGCAAATCAACTCATCTACAATTTCACCTGACTCAGTCAAACCACCATAGCTTCAGAGGTTAGGAAATGTATCGCAGCCGCATTTGGTAAAGTGGTGTTTACCACGGAAACCCTAATGCTTTTGTTTAGGGCTAGAAACAATAAAAATCCAGGATATAATGTGGTGGCCTTCATGACAAAAATATTATTTATTTAGCTGAGCAACGGCATGAGGCTTGGTATCAAACGTATTACGTGATAATTAAAAACTGTTTGCCCAATGTTGACGGTCTTTTTCTTCTAGACGGAAACAAATAAATGTCCTGAAATTTGGTAGTCTTCTAAGTACTTCTACATGTTTTATACAACGCACACTGAGATCTTTTGTGTAGTATAAAATCATTAAAATACCTAATTAGTACATTTTATGCCGAACTTTTTATTGGCAACCTGTTGATCTTAGAATTCAGTCAGAATTATTTATCCTGATGGCTAACTGGTCACTAAGGCCGGCAAAGTATGAAACTACAAATGCTGGCTAGCAGAATAGGAGATTAACTAGGGTTAATATTAAACAATGGACGATACGTTCAGCCATAGAATCTTGCAGGTTTTCTGTAAAATATATTTTACATTGATCAAAACGGTCAAAATATATTGTCACTAAGGAGCATGCAGTGTGGATTTGTCCAGGGCTTTCAGCGCGATGATACTGAAGCACCCATTGTGTGAACGAAAGGGGCACTCAATAAACTAAATCCATATGCTTCAGTTACGGTGCCAGTGATGGAGTTGACTAATGTTCATAACTTCAGTATTTATGTGGGGGTACTCACCATTTCATTCTGAATCGCTATCCGAATAAGGTTGCGCTTTACAATTCTTTCATAAAATTGACTTAAACTGACCCAACGTTTTAGTCATCAACTGAACTGAAAAGCTCTGTCCACTGTGACTCAGTAGCCGAATGGGAAGAGCTTTTATGCTGATATCCAAAACGCCCCTATTTTTGAGCGCTTGGGAAGCCAAGTTAATAAAAAATGCGTCGTGGAGTGGAGTGTTTTTGGGCTCGAAAAACCTACTCTCCATCCACTTGAAATTATCAAAGTATCGAGTATAAACTTCAACCAGATGGTAAACTCTGTCATCATTCAAAATAAGTATGTTAGCCTATTACACATTTTCTTTACAATTTGAAATAACATGGAAACAAACACGATACTTGAGAAATTATAATTGTAAGTTGATTCTATGTTTCACATTATTAACTTTACTTAAGAGCAAATGCCCAAAGGGGAGTCCATCGCCAATAGTTTTAATTCACTGCAGTTTCCTAGAACATATGGCAATAGTTTATCATGGCCTTGTTTATTAAATATTTATTATTTAAACGGATCATCATTATTTAGCAATTCTTCGATATCAGTTGAGAGGGTACGCATAATTTAAAGGCGTGCTACTTTAACACCACGCATTGTAAAAGTAACAACTCCTAACTTGATATGTAACAATAAGCATTATCAAATTAATCAATTATTTAATGAATATATTGCCAAAATCTAAACATTCGGACTTATTCATGTAGATATATTGATTGCGTTGCGCAACCGGTACACAAATAGACACCCTTAGACGTAAATAAATTCACAACAAGATCTGTGCGATATACATAAACACTCGCCCTAATAAAAAGGAAAAGTGAAGTGCTCTATTTTTTATAACTTATCAATTTGCTTAACATGATGACTTTAATTATATGAGACAGCATGTTAAATGCACAACATAATTTGTCACGGTAATCCAGTTGATACTGCCATTAGAAAACATCAGTTTCTGTTTCGGGTTCGTAATTCTGCAAGGTACAAGATCTACCTGGAGAGCTTTTGTCCAAGTCAATTTTTAAGTCCAATGCATTGTGACAGGATTTGCCAAATCTTACACCGACGTACGTAAATGTAGCTGTAAAGTTGTCGAAAACTTTTTAAAACTAGATCCATTCCTGTTATCGCCAATATGTTTTGAGGGTTCGATTCCTTTATGCTGACGCAGCGATCGTGTTCCGTTTGATTAGGTTAACTATCAGGAACGTTTCGTTGCACAGATACATGTGTTCAGTGTTCCATCATCAATCAGCAGCAAAACAGTGAATACACCATCCATTTGAACAAATGCTTCGCCACCATACAAACATGATAATGTATAGAATAAACAAAATTAAGAGAGCGAGAAGGAGACTTACCCAAAAACCTTTATGCCTTAAGCAAACATTCAGTGCCAAGGCAACTAAACCTTGTTTACACAAGGTACTGTCACAAACAGCTGACTATTTTGCAAAGATAAGACGGCATCGGCGAGATAGCTTCCTCGGGATTTTCACTGCCCCGCGTCATAATCAGCCATTACCCAGAGAATAACTCAGAACCAAATACACTTTAAACAGGCAATCCGATTAGGAGACGGCAGCAGACGTGCCACTAGTGTCGGTTGCGGGCCACGTCCTGTAAACTCTCGAGCCAAGTAAAACACAAGTCACGCGAACTCCAGCCCGAAAGATTAGACAGACTAAAAGTATCCAGTTTGATTGTCATTAACTTCATTTGCCGCTGCCAACTCAACTTCTGTCCACCTCGAGCTTTGCGCCACTCTACACCTGGTAAACAAAACAGGGCCCTCCTAGGTAAGCAGTGAACAGGCATACGTAGCAGGTGCCCAAGCCAAGGCAACTTATTCAGTGCTATCTGTTGTTCTGGGGTGCTAGCATTATTATCACGATCCAGTACTCGCACACGCACATCATCGTTGAGGACACGCTGGTGCCATCCGACAGCAGCAATGCTTCACAGTCAACGATGAGCAAATATTTGAAGGCGCCCCATTTCTTCAGACTGAAGGAGCCAATTGTCACTACCATAGAGCAGTACGGCCCTCACTGTCGTCTTGTATACTCTGCCTTTCAGACGAAGGGAAATCCTTCTGTCACTAAACATGCTGCAATTCACGAAGGCAGTTCTGGTCATTGCAATGCGTGAACGGAAGTCAGTTTCTATGTGCTCATCGTTGTTGATGCAACTGCCAAGATAACTGAAATGATCAAACATCTCTAGGTCCTCCTTAGCATGGGTCAATGTTCATCAAGTGGCTGGTGGTCCTGCAGCAACACCTTTCACATTGAAGGTGCAATTATAGACCAAATAACGGGACCACTCTATACAGATTATTCAGGGTTGATTTGCCACCGCAACATCGTGGAAAAGCAAGGCGACATCGTCCGCATAATCATGATCAACTAACTTTTCACCAAGTTGCAGTTCAAAGCCTATATCATGAGATTTTTCAAGGGAACATTACTTGATAGATTCCAAGACGAAAATGAACTGAAATGGGGAAACTGGACAACCCTGACGAACACCACTTTTGGTCGGAAAGCTATCCGATAAGTCACCGGAGATTCTAAGCACAAAGGATGTTTAGGTATTCCGTAGAATCACGTTTCCGCGCAAGTATTTTGGACAGAATCGATAGATCGACTGCATCAAACGCACTCATTAAATCGAGAAACACAGCAAATGTCGATCTGCGGTATGCATGGCGCTGCCACAGTACCTTCCGCAAAGTGCTTCTGTTGTCTATACAGCCACGTCCTGGGTGGAAACCTGCCTGTTCTGCCCTAATCCAAAAAAACCGCGTTTACTATTTTGTGTATCGACCTAAGCTGATGTTTTCAAACGTGCTGCATATTAACGGCCGTTCACCGGAAGCAAATCAACCAAGAATGGCTCAGTCTTGGAGCTTAGAATGATACCCACATCAATTTGGCTCGTGAGTGCTGCATCGGCGTCTCCGGATGAGTGCAATATATACCTTGAGGATAAGCCTGGTGCAGTTGCTTTAAGAACACCATTTGGGTCACTGATCCTAGTTTCGGACACACAACACACATCAATAGCCAGTGTGTCCAAGGTGCGTGCGAGTGCAGCCTATTGTCCAGTTTGTCTTAGATGCAAACGTTGAATGTCGCCAGGTAAACGGGATAGCGTGGTCTTATAATGCACTGTTGCTGATAGTCATCCGGTGCGTGTCGCTTAAAGGTGGCGGCAGATATTTCGCCATTGGTACTTCGGTTACTGTTAATTAAGCCGGGAATTTGAAAGGAAGATTAGTCATTGGGGTGTAAAATAAAGGTGTAAAATAAAGAAGATAGGCGCCATTAGTAGCATGTTTTCGCTTATCCGCCCTGCTGTATGCAGAAGACAAGGCGACCCTTGATAATCTGCGCGACGGTGAACGCAAGATAAATTTATGTTTGAAGAAAATGGCATGGTTGCATGTGAGCTGGGATACTGCCAGGGCGCCCAGACATAGACAGGAGGATTATTAGGGTTCTCATCCAAATTCTTTGAGTTAAAAGCCTTTCCGAGAGTCAGTGGGATAGTGGCAATGATTTAGCTTAACAGAAATGGACGCCATTCCATTAAAACAACTAATCTGGAGGACCAGGAGACTGAGTTTATCTGACCTCTGCCCATTGACCAACCTGGTATGAGTAGCTCTCAAGGTGCCTGGAGGCACCAACCAATATAGCTCAATGGGTCAAGGAGGTACGCAGACCGTCGCACCACGTTAAGGTCTATTCTCGTTTAATCGGTATAGAATGCATGTATTAACTTACAGTTTATCAAGTAAATATTTTAATACAGATGTTGCGCTGTGTTTCCGTAAATCAAGATATCTGGTAATCAGTTTAGTGGCATTTTATATTCAGCTTAAAAGAAAGTGTTCGTGCATGGAGCAAAGCGCCGCTAGAAACGCAATCTTGTTCCCTGCAAGTCACTTTATACTCTTATTTTTATGCAGTTGAGTCCAGTCGTACAGGACAGCAATGCTTAATGAATAAGCACATGGCTTATCGGTTTCAGAAATCTCTCATCATAATGATCAATCAATCGTCAAATGAAATACTCCCCGATATTCTTCCTTTCACCTAAATGTAACGAAATTAGCAATTGGATTATCATACCTCTAACAGAAGACTGACATTTTAGGTGGCAGAATTCATTTTCCCAATCGCGGTTGGATAGTGAACCATTAGCTCATTCTTAAGGATGGTGTATGTTAAATGTTGTAACCTCTGTTTGACAACTGTTATCTTTATCAACATTTTGTCAGTTATAATAAAAGATTTTCGGCGTCTATTTGGATTATTTTGTAAAAAGCTGTAGGATAAGTGCCCATAAATTCTGCACAAACGTGAACACTTTATGGTAGCCATGTTGTCTTATCTGATAATAAACACACTAGTTTAGCCGACGTTTGTAATTAAACCACCATCACCTTAATCACCTCCCAGACACTACGTGACAATATTTGATAAAACACAAATCCGCAGCAATCAAGAAACTTATTAACTCGATCAGTGCTTGTGCATCTGTGCAATACATAAGCCTATGTATTATATATGATATACTGAAAAGAATTAGGACATTTAGCTGAATCTTTCGTCAATGTCTTGTATTTGCGCTGAATAAGTATACATCTTACACGTGACCGCTTGTCCGGATTGTCCATTAAGACTTCCACTTTGTTATAATACAATATTTTCTGGTGAATCGTTAGCAAACCATGTTAACGCACATGTTTCTTCTATAGCAATTAATTGCTTAATTTTTCAAAGTATCCTTCTAAAGTTCAGTAGGCTTTAGTCGATACTTGATCTGTTTCTATTATTACAGCGTTCGATTAAGCAAGTTAATGTCACATAGTAATTGACAGCTGACGCGAAAATTCACTGTCTTCCTCAGAAGACACTCATAATAATTGCGAATGTTGCCTAATTATGCGATGCTCAAAATTGGTTACAACAACTTAGGTGCAGTTACACGAAACCATTGAACATGCATTAAACAGAAACTGAATTCTGCTGAAGTGAACCGTTGAATTGAAGAATGAATATTTAGTTGAGAAGACTGACTTTTCAGTAATGTTTTCGATTAGGCAGATTAGGTATCTTTACTGAATTTAATCAGTTACCTATTACAACTCATCAATATTTCCACCGAAGTCATCGCATCTGAAGCCTAAAGAAAATATGAGAGTTCAGTCAATGTGTATGAGTTAGTTAAATCAGTCTTCGAACATTGCCTTTTCAGTTTGTAAAACAGCTACAACCATAATAATAACCTTCAAATAGAAATTGTCTTTGAGTGCTCGGGGCATTACGTTCTTTAAAGTGCTTCTGGTAAGTGGGATGAACAATGTAATGAATTACAGCATACAATAGGTGCTCAATTACCACAGTTTTTACTTTTTGTTCAGAGTTGCACTCTGTTCTTAATATTCAAGTGCTTCAACAAATTGTGACACGAGAATGCCACGTCCTCATATGAACAGGTTAAACTAAAGGGTTTTGTAAAATCACAAATGGTTGTAAAGCTATTGAATATCCAAAAAGGCTATTACCGGCCAACTATTCATTTGAGATTCTTCAGCAGTGTAACTTACATCGACAAGAAATGCTGTGTGTGCGAATTATTCAGCTCCAATGCGTTTTGTAAACGCGTTGGTAATTCGATGAAGTCCTGCACGAGGTCATATTTTGTTACAAGTTTGAGACTTCCCTCTCCATCTCGGGTGTCCCAACTGTCTAATCTGCTGTTATGCCTATTCCCTTCGAATACTAATAATATGCGTAACGTTTCAGTGTGTTTCAGAGCGTTTCAGTTCAGTTTATTTCTTGACATGCACTCGGCCACCGGCCGAGTGGTATGCGCTTCTTGTATGCAACCATCAAGTCACCGGTTCGAATCCGCGTAGGGGCGGACATCCTCTTGGTATACTCAGCCCACGCGCGTATAGAGGTGTTCCCGTGGCAGCGAAGCGCCGTTGCGGAGTGCAGCTGACAATGTATTTATTTATATCATTAAAATAATACAATCCAAACAAAATATTTCTTATCGCAAGCTGGTACGTGGGCGAAGCAACGGTGTAGCACTGTGTTACGCCGCTTATGCATTTTATTCTTGAAGAGCCATAAAAGTTAAACACTGTGGGCCAAGTGGTCCAAATGTGCTTGCTCATCAGCCTTTGGCAACATCTGTTTATAATCGGTAAAGGCGTGTAAACCTTGTGATCTTGTTGAACTGATAGAAGAAAAGTAGTTTTGTCTTTATTTACTGGTTGCGTCAGACTGCTTCCCTTTCGCCCACTGCTAAAAAACCTAGATGCTGCAATCTAGCTCTAGGATAAATAAGCAGAGTTCTTGAGAGATATATTTAAAGGTTAGGCAAAATACATAAAAGATAAGCTATGCCCATGTACCAGTGCCACCAAACATTCGTTGTTGTTGCCATTAATTTTCGAATCATAAGAGGAACACATACTAATCTGTGTCGATCACTGATCAACCCACCTTGATTTGTCAAAGTTTCGAACGCATAGCACGCTTTACTAGCATAAAAATAGATGTGAATACAACAGTAAATCACTTTTATGTACTAGGAAAGCTTACAGATTTGTCATCAATTAAAAGTAAAATGGATTAGAATGGAATCCGCCTATTCTCGTAACTTTTGAAATATCTTCGAATACTGGAAAAAATAGAAATACAGTCACCCGGCCTACTTACCCCAAATGAGTGCATTTGACCATGACCGACGTAGTCCACGAGCCCAATACCGTTTTCTGTTGGAATTGGATTCATGGCCGTACCACCTGGATGGCCCATTGCAATCAGCGGCGGCGGGGCCTGTTGCATGTATATGAGGCTGGCAGTTTCACTAGGCGTCATCATCGGACCATATCCCATCATGCCCGGACCGCCCATCGTTGTGAACATCTGTCCGTCTTCTAACACCGGACTTCCCAATGATCCTTGGTTTGGATAATATTGAGGTGTGGGATAAATCCCCAACGGGGATGGCCATGATCCATTGGGCATATTCGTAGTCATTGCCTCCTTATTATAATCCACTGGATACCCTGCAGTTGCATTGATCGCAGGAGATGTTCTTTCACCCAAGGCATTACCACTTGCTTGTGAGTAACGAACTGGTCTTCGCCGAACACAGACGATACCAATTATTAGGAACAACGAGACGATAGCAGTGATGGTTATCATCACTAGTATTATAGTAACGTTTAAAGTACCGTCCGCTCCGAAACTGAAGAAGCTTGGGTCCTCGCTAGGATCAAGAAAAACGTTCATTGTAAGCCACGCATCTGTTTGGGACTTCGGTGTGCCTCTATCCTGTGCCCGCAGATGTAAATTTATGGTACCTGAAGTGAGGGATTGCGCTACCCATATTTCTCCGGTCGATCCATTCAGATACAGTGGGCCAACTCGGTATCCGTTTTCTTTAACCTTTTCTGTCTTTGACGAAGATAGTCGCTTCGGCATTGTCTCTGTCTGCTTGCCAGTGCCTTTACTTTGAGACAGGCCATTTAACAGACCTTCGTGCAAGCTTACTGCTTTTAATGGTTCACCCCTTGGTCCCAGAAATAGGTAATCTACCCTACCTGCATCACCCTCATCTGCATCCTCAGCGCGTAAACGACCCGCAAGGCTTCCAGGTTTCATTGCGGTGGTTATATTGATAGTCCTATCTATAGGAGTGGGGAAAATCCAGAACGGAGCATTGTCGTTTGAATCCAATACATCTACGCGTATCATAGCAGTGCTTGTCAGTGGTTGAACTCCTCTATCCTGCACACTAACCTTTAGGATATAAGTTGGGACAGTTTCTCGGTCTAGTTCCACCAACGTTTCTATGCCCCCGTCAGGAGTGATTTGAAAGATTGGATGATCCACAACTTTTCTTGACAATCCCAACTCCCCAGTGATATCCGACGGAAGCTGCTCTTCAATAGATCCCAGTGTGGACGCAAGGTCCACCTGGTTATTGGACTGTTGGTTAAAATGCGCTGATCGTGTAAATGCGTAAGTGTCCACCAAAGAGAAGTGGATACGGCCATTGTCACCCTAGAATGAAGATAGGAATGAGAGATGTGCTAAATGGTACATAAATCGAAAAATGCGTCACACTGAGTTACGTTTCTTTGATCTGAAGCTTTAAAACATGGCCGCAACGAAAAGTGTCTTGGTTATAATTAGAATTAAGCAAGTTTACCAATGAACTATTTAATCAGATTTGCCTATTTCACAGAAGTATAGCTTTGTAGGGCCAGGTTCCCTTTGTATTCAGCCGGTATCTAAATATCCTGCTGTTCTTCACCTCACTTCAACTCGCTTCAAATGAGTCATTCGCAACATGTAGCGAATCTGGAGAACAGTGTCGCGTGGTTGCAGCTTGGTAGATTTGATTTTGCCCACTGGACAAGCAAATAAATCGATACGTTTGGTTGGTACCAACGTTAGCCGACCAGCAGCCCGCAACCAGATGTGATAAGCGGCATACCCCATCTCCATTGATGCATAACATACTGATTTTAGTAAGCAATCAATGTGTGGTTTTACCAACTTGTCCCTTCCTTTGCCTGAAACGACAACTACCGCTTTTCGCGTTAAATTACAATGAAGTTGATGAAAGATCATTACACGAATAAAGAATTAATACCTATTATTCTAAATAAATTTGCAGACAATTTTGACGCTGTCCACAAAACAGGGCTGTGCTATTTTAGCGCAGTTCTACATAAAATGAAGCCCTGTATATCAAAGCTGAATTTAGGGAGCACGCTTTGTTGTTGGGTTTCGACTCGCAACCTCTATTGAGACCTCGGCTCACTTTGAGGTAAACGTCGCTCATTTCCGATCTCGAGGACCGTATCCTGAATGGATATATTTGGGTGTTGCTCTTACCAACACTGGCACAGCACGACCGCAGTTTCTTCTTGGTTTAGACTAGTCAAGTGAAGAGAGCCTGAGCTGGGGGTGGAACTCAGAGATTTTTGGTTCATGGATGACGCCCTGAACACTATGCTACTGAGATCTGCGAGCAACACTTGGCACAGCGGAAAGTAATCAAATCGGAATATAGGGAGCACGCTGTGTGGTCAGGTTGCGACTCGCAAACTCTTTTAAGACCTCGGCTCACGTTGAGCCAAAACTCGTTATGTATTTGATTTGGGTCATCTCATAGCAGTGCGGCTCTCCGGGTTCCGGCCACTGACCAAACATTTCCAACTGACGGATGCAAGGAAGTCCGAAAGCAGTCTCATAAACGCTGGTGAGCCTGTGATATCTAAAAGAGACGTACAAATTATTGTTCTTTGTGTTTTTGCTTCAATCATTACTTGTGCGTATTGTCTCTTATTGAGTTTACGCCCTCTTCACCATAAAACAATACATAAGTCTAGCTTGTCTATTCTAACTTTAACGTAAATTATCAGTTTATATGTAAATTATGTAAATTGCTATTGCGCACAATGTGCTTTTTACAAGGGGAAAACACAGCTATCAGTTAATCGTTATATGTAAATTTGCCCCAAATTTCCTTTAATCATATTCATAATATGATCATTTTGGTGAATTTTGATGTAAAACGATAACTAAGATGGTTGCATTCAACTTCAGGGAGAACCAGTTTTAAAATGTGGCACTCACCTGATCTGGATCACGAGCACTGAGCTGTTCACTTAGGCGCGTAAATCTTGGCGCATTTTCCACCACCTGAAATGACTTCAGCCGTCGACCTACTCGTAACCCGGTTGCAGACTGCACTACATCAGTGGTTGGAGGGTTGACAAAAACCGGAGCATTGTCATTTTCATCAAGTATTTCGATTGACACAGTAGTGGTTGCAGTAAATATGGGTGGTAGTTTGGAGTCGGTAACCAGAACTGTCAATGTAACGCTTGACATCACTTCCCGATCAAGTGGGATCTGTAATAGTAAAGTGGTACATGCGGTGACCAGTTTATTCACTGAAAAGATATGGTTTAATGTTCCTTCATTTACTCCGTCAATATTTGTCCAATTACATATATATTTTGAATTAATGTCCGCCTGTATATCATGCACTATAAAATTATTTCAAATGTAGTTAAATGAAAACCCGTGAGCAAATCAATAGTGAGTATTTACTTCGATGCTTACAGCTTGTAAAACAAAGCGTTTTGATATGAAAGCAAGGAAACTAAAAGTTTCAAAACAACTTAGGTGGTGAGCGGTAGGATAAATGAAGAGTTTCATACAAGTGCTCGCTTTCTAGTAACAGACTGCGCGTTCTCATAATCAACATCGCACTTATTTTTATGATAGGTGACCATATAGGCGAAAGTTTAGTTTAAGGAACTTGTATGAATAAAGTCGAGGTCTCAATAGTGCTCGCGTATTAAATATTTGTAACATAATTAAATGGGATATTATGCGTAGTTTTAATTTAGATTTGCTCTGAAGATTCGTGTAATATCTTTTTCGCGCACCTAATTAAACGGATAAAATATAAGGTGAGCACGTAATGCAGCCACATTAATTTATTGTCCACAGCTTTCCAAGTTGCGTTCCAGTCCACTTCTAGTCAGGTATGTTCAAAGGTATAAAATAACGCAAACCGGTTGGACAAAGCAAATTCACTTTGGTCTTCATCTGCTATCCCATTTTTACGTTCCATCACAGGGCGCTCCCATGGGAGCGACGCACCATTACCGATGGGTTCTGTGGTGCGCCATCGACATTTGCTTCCTGGAGTCTAACTTAATTGTCCTGTCAACCGACTGATGTAAAAGTATTAGAATTTCCCAGGGGACCGCATCCACTGGTGATTTTGCTTCACTGGGTTTTACTTGGACCTACATGCATCCGGTGTTTAGATTTATAAGCAGCCCAAGTTGGAAACGAAGTACGGAACTGTCGTTTAATATTCCGAAATAAAATGATAACGGTCGTTACAATTTGGAAGACAAAAAGTCATTTCCAAAAACTGAAGGCCCAAAATGTTTAAAATGTTGGGTAGTTATAACTTAACGATACAACAGTTATGTCCTTTGATCAGCAAAACGGATGTCGATTACTTTTGGTAGAGCATTAATTGCACTAGTTTAAATCGTCTACAAATACGTAACATTTCTGGAAATTTATTCGCCAATGTTGTGAGCGGTTACTCTTTTCAGCGTTAGCAAAGGCTTATATCAGTGTTAATCTCCTCACCAACAAAAAGATCCTTAGATTTGCATAGTCAATTATATTGATAATTGACAGAAGAATGGAAGTGTGCTGTATCCAGATCAGTAGAAACATTGTAACTTACCCTATGACAAAATTCAAAAGCCTCAAAATTTATCATTTAACTACATCTGTTCTGTTTGTAGATTAAGCTTAAAATTATTAATGTTTAAAATCATTTAAAATGCTTAGAGGTTTAAGGATTGCTTCCTTACTTTAGAAGTGGCAATACTATTTGTAGCATCGTAAAAGAATGATGTGTTTCGCAAATATGCTTTTTTACCTTTGGCAAGCTTGAATCGTGAATCTTACCAAGTTGGGCCAAATTATGTCGGGAAAATAGCGTTTATTTGTTAATTTATGTACAGAATCCTGGCGAAAGAAAATCACCAGATACTTCCGTATTACGCTGTTTCACGTGCCACAGACAAACTGATGCAATCAAATCTGTCGCATCAGATAGCCTGTGCGCTCATAGGTATTGGAATATATGCTTCCATGAATATGATAAAAAATAGTCCACCATACGTAGGGTTAACTGACAATAGTTAAAGCTTTGTTTCCACATCAAAAGCCTGCTTGTTATAATGCATTCAACTGCCTCACAATTTCAGGTCGTTTCTGTAAAACCAGGTAATCATTTGCTCGAACTCCAGCTGCACAACAAATCGAAAGATTTTTGCACAACTTGATGCTAACGTTTCTTTCGCATCATAGAACCGATAACCAGTTGCATCAGGATACGTGACCCGTAATCATTTTATAGCAAAAGCATTGTACAAACCATCTTGCGATCGATGAAGCAAAGAATAATATACCAACTGTCAATTATTGGAGTGATCGCCACCTTAAGGCTGGCCACAAATAATTGTCACTATATAACTAAACTTAATCGAACCCGCAGGGGTGAAATGGATCAGTCTAAGAGCTCACCGAGTGATTAACAGTATACCATTCCGAGCGAACAATGATATTCCGTCAAGCGAGCAAGTTAAAACATTTAGTGGAATTTTGTGCAATGCTCTATGAATCCTTTATCCGCAGATTAGCAGTTAAAAAGCTGGGGAAACTTTAGTGTTCGTATTGCTAGAGCGAAATACACCCTTTACTTTGTGACAGTTTCTTTACATGTAAGTACGCATTAGTGAAATAAGTGTCCTTTGATGCTAAACGTCATATTTAATTGATCAACCCAAGAAACTTTATAAGCTGATTTCTAATGCAACGTAAAGTTGTTTTTGCATTTCGGTGCAATGAAGACGTGACTCTTAATTTTTATGAGGAGAAATGATTCTGCATGCATTTGTTGTGTGGAATATAGGTTGAGTCTCCCTACTCAAAAATAATTTAAAAGAACGCTTGCAAAGAGCCGCACACGCGTGGATACAAATTTACACATATTAAAAGAGCCTGAATTATGTTAATAAATTCATGCGGATTTATAACCAGTTATGTGTCATTTTTGAGTACCTTCCTAATTGCTTATCGAATTCGGCTTGTGGCTGTCTTTTGAGGGATTAAATCTGCTTATATTAAAAATAGACTTTATAAAAGTGCCGACAGTTTCAATGGAGTATGGCGTGTAAGCTGAAGGTTGTCTAACGTTAACTAATACCATGGGACCGCGTTGTATTTGCGAGCCACTGTGTGGCTAGTTGCTTATCTTTGGTTGGCGTATACGAAGAGTTTGCTGAGCGCAAAAATCGTACTGCATTTAAGTTGACATTTGTCGGGAAGTTGCTTTACTAACATTCCTTGTCGGGAAACCGATAAGAGAATGCAACCTATAATGTTAATGCATAAAATGTTGCCAAAAGTGTAAGGCAAGGAATTCTGAAACAAACTGTTGGTTTTCCTTTACTTGGATCGTAAAAGAACACGAAGTTCATCTATGTAACGTAAGTTAATATTTTATTAGTATGGTAGGGATGAAAATAAATAGGTTTCACTATTTAATGTAGTATTCTGTGCATTCCAAGTTGTCATCGATAACATGAGAATATACAGTTGGGAAATTACGGAAAATCGATTATAACAAAGGTGACTAGAATTTTTCTAACGTGGGTAGAAAATGCGCGATTATTTCCTGAAAAATCAGCAGGATAAAAGTAACGTCATTTCTCAGTTATTAAAGCTGTTTAAAGCAACGGCGCTAGGATTTGACAAAATATATCTTTAGACAACTTAGTTTTAATGTTTCAGTATGTGGCCTCGCACTTCTAGTACAATTACTCGAACATGTCATGACTGGTCTAGATTTCTGATGTTTGTGCTGTTTTGTTTGACTTGTTTAACTCTCCATAATATGCAGGCATTTATGTGAGAAAATCTTTGCAGAACAAACAAAGTATTCCAGGAAAACGGAAGCACTAACACGCTATAAAGGATTTCTTTTTGCGTTGTAGTGAAATGATCAGGCTTATTTTTATATTGATTATGCGCTTTAAATATTTAATGACATAATTTTGAATGCGATTGCAGGTTGGATTGTGAAACGTGTACATTAGAAGAGGCGGTGGTAACATGTTAAACTCCAAACGTTCTCTAAAATACTTATGAATTATACGTGCGTGCGAAAAGAAAACGCAACAGCCAGTTGTAATCCGACAGTGGTGTAGCCATGTGTTACTAAAATGTCACCGCTTAGTATACCAAAAAATCTGAGTCATCCAGCTGCGCCATCTCGATTCATAGACAAACTTTCGCACAGCGACATAAAATATATTGATTGCAACATAATAGGAATACTCCCATCAAACAGTGGACTAAATACCACAAAAAACATTGTTGCCTTTATTGTGAGGAGTATTCGCTTGCTTGTACTCCGTGTATGGGTGCTAGCTCACACTGTTGCTTTCATGCCGTGCACTTTACCGCTGATTGCAATGAATGCGCACCACTGACAAGTCACAGTAGGGCGAATCGCGTCTGTGGTTTTCCCGGAATAGGCTGTGCCATGTAGTTTGTAAAGTACGGGACGAAAACACTAGAATTACATCTGATCTCCTGCTACTCCCGAGTAACATAAATTAAATAGCCTTCTCGAGTTTCACATTATATGGATATTGCGTCTGGTGGAAGGACTTCAACAACTCAAAAGCTAGCCACTGACCATGATAGTGGAAGATCATTCAGTATTCATTATACACGTTAGCTAGAGGTGTAAAGCACCTCAGCTAATGTGCCGCAATAAATAAGTAAAGAAAATAAGTGCAACAGTTACATGTCAGCTGAGCTACCAGCATTGGATGGGCATCATTCCGGAAATCAACCAGCCGACTACCAGACAACAAAAAATTATAATGTGATATCAGATCATCCTGTGAACTGAGATCGTGGTTGTATGGGATGATAAAATGGATGCTGTGGGACAAAACAGCTCACAGGAGGTACGCCAATCCCGCCGGCTCTTAGATATGTCCTCAAGTGTATCCAGCCAAACATGTTCATCATCTTTTGGACCTTAACCAGGAAGCAGTGATCCTCCAACCGAGGCCATCTCTCAAGTGAGGACAATCATTCCTATCGACCAACTAATGGTTTAGCCAATTATCCTCTTCTTCCATCCACACCAATGGCTAGCAAGCAACGCATGTCGCGGGAACCGGTGGGCTGGCTTGAGAAACAAGTAGCCGAGCCATGGGAGTTTGGTTCGTGAAATGACGGTTCTGAGCGGTTCAGCTCCTTTTCCTGTGCCGTCGAACAGGCTTGATGCTCAC